AATAAAAATTGTATTTTATTATACTCAATAAAAAAAAAAGCTATGTAAGTAGTCAATATTGAGAAGTTTTTTTGATATTTTATATATGTATGTTGATCAAATTTCTGTATTACTACGTTTTCTACTCATTTGAGTTGAAGTAATTTCTGATAATGTTCTCTTAGCATTTTTCTTTTTAAATACTGCTGCATAAGTGGATATCCATCCACGAATAGTTTGGAGTTTTGGAACCTCATTTTTGTCAATTTCATCTTCTTCTACCATACTATTTAACTTTCCCAACATAGTTTCAGCTGTATATTTTCTAGTTTTGTCAGCTTCTCCAGCTAGAAAGAAACTTTCTAATAAGCTTGTAATTTGTATGGACATACGATTACCACCACCTTTCTGTCCATATTTCTGGTTACCTTTTAGTGCCCAGCCTTTAGAAAGTTCAAATGTTAATTCAAGTGGTTGAGCTAATAATTGAATAAGATAAGCAAGACTATTTTTTCAAATTTTATTTATATTATAAAAAAAAAAAAATTATGCTTGCATTGTGAATCAAGTGTTGATAGTGTATTTAACTCATCAACTAATATTTTATCTAATTATTCACATAACAATATTATTAGTTTATAAAAAATTTTCATTATAAGAAATACTTTATAAAAACAGATTTTATACAAACTATAATTTTGAGGGTTCCTTAGCTGTGGCATAGTCCAAATAGTTTTAGGAATTGAATGTGGAGTATTAGTTGGGGTTGGTTTTTGAATTGATGCTTTCATTAATTCAGAAATTTGAGTTGGAGAAATATCTTTCCATTGACCAATATATGGTAGTTCTCGTACTTGGATATATCCAGCTAAATCTCCATCTTTTGGCCACCTCCAATTAAACCAATTAGAAACTACAGACAATGTCTTAACATTAACATGCTCCATTCTATTTGGTTGTAGATTGGCTATTCTTGTTCCTCGAACACCCTTGGAGGAATTTTCAATATCAGCACCACTATTCAAATCAAAACCAATTCTAATATATCTTTTTATTGCATGAGCAATCTAACATAAATTGGTAAAAATTTAATATATATCTGAAAATTTGAAATTCATTTCCACTTATTTAGTAATTCAGATAGAGATGGCTACAACAATATTTATTTCTTTATTTTTTTTAAATTTATGCAAATAAATATAGGATAACTTACAGATGCATGGTGTGAATCTATAGTGGTCTTTGCTTCTCCTGGTTCCAAAAATGTCCATTCACGAATTTCTATTCCATACCAATCATACCAATTTGTTATTATTGTCATAAGTTCTGAGCAATGATAATGTGGACCATTATCAGTAATAACTTTAATCCATTTAGGTTTTGGATCAAGTGTTTCAAATACACAATCAAATGAAGATGCAGTGAACCAAGCATCCTGCTTGGTATCATTAGACCAATGGTCATAGGCAGTCAGTTCCAATTCTTCTTTAGCATTTTGTGATTTAATAAAAACTAATATTGTGTGTAGTGTCCAACCTTTTTTTCCATAGAAACTTTCTTTTGTTTCTCTTGCAGATTTTGGCAAAATTCGCATCTTGTAATCTGCCACAATAACTGCACCTTCATCATCTATTATTTCTAGTAAATTGGCTTGAAATTGAGAATTCAAATATACTTTACGAGCTTGATGAGACCAATAATAAAACAAATAATCTTTTTTTTCTTCTAATAACTGTTGTTTAGTTTCTGAAATATGGTTTTTCAAATTAATAAATAAATCAAAAACTTTATCACACTCATTGCATCTTGATAAATGTACTTCATTGCATGCATTAAATGCATAAAGTAAGCATAATTGATGCAATCATTAAGTAATTTTTTGCCTTCTTTTTAAACAAGAAAGTTGT